TCCTCTGGACACATTCCAGCTTGTCAATATCTCTCTGCAATTGTGGTGCCCAGAATTGGACACAATATTCCAAAATCTCCTCTTGGAGATGGATGGGGTGGCTGGAGGCATTTTGTGCCATATGTAAGCCAACTCAAGTCCCTTCAGGGAGATGGAGGCAGGGTACAAAATAAAGTTGTTGTTCTTGTTCTTGTTGTTCTTGTTGTTGTCGTCATCATCACCATCATTATCATCTTCACCTCAGAGAGGTAGCTGGCCAATTTAAGCCTAGAATTGGTCTTTTAAAGAATAGAAAATGCACAATAAATTGATTATGTTCAAGTCTTGTTAATGGCCCACGTAAGCTAAAACATGGTGATGATGCTTCCAGTGTTATCTAAAAGAGTGTCTGAGAACCTTTGGGAAACACCCATTTTGTATTTCGTTTGCAGAGGAGGCTGATCCTTTAATGGTTTCCTGAGAAGTCAGAGCATCTCCCAGTCTTCCATGCTGGCTCACTCATTTATTATGTTCTTAATTCTATAAACCCAGACATTTCCATAGGTACGTTGTGCATCTACACTGTAGAACAAATGCAGTTTGACACCACTTCTGCTGCCAGGGTTCAATGCTATAGAATCCCGGGTACTGTCATTTTCCAAGGTCTTTAGCCTTCTCTCCCCAACTACAACTCCCCAAATTCCATAGCACTGAGTCCTGTTAAAATGGAGTCAAACTGCATTTATTCTACAGTGTAGATGTGTCTGTAGGTAGAGATATAATCCAAGATCTTATATTTCAATTGCTACGTATATCGCCATTTGGGAATATGCACATTGATTGTGCTGCTGAATGCTTGGTCAAATGGCAATGCAGTGGGCATTAATATAAATGTATCTGAGTGCACAAATGAATATGGAGCAACTGAATGCACAACCAAATATGCCTTCAGATGGTTCAGATGGAAAGTGCTAACTCCTTTCGTAAGAAAGTTTACACTTTTAAAGTCTCCAATATGATTTCACCCTATTTCCAAGTTTCTTATCTCCTTCTGGGCTGCTTCTTCCATGGATTGCCTTTGACTTGCAACATGTGCTGCTACCTAGCTTGGTTTTAATGTGTTTAGACAGTAAATAATATTTTTGTCCTGTCTCACATTTGAAAATATTTCATTTTTACATGAATTTTGTATACATTATTCCATGATCTATACACTGCCATATAATGCAGTTTGGAACATCAGTATATGGTCAGTGTAGACTCATGTATGATAAGAAACAAATTCTTATCATGTATGATAAGAAACAAATTGGTATGATAAGAAACAAAGATGGCAGGGACCTAACAGAAGCTGAAGAGATCAAGAGAAGGTGGCGAGACTATACAGAAGATCTGTATAGGAAGGATAATAATATTGAGGATAGTTTTCACGGTGTGGTGAATGAATTAGAACCAGACATCCTGAGGAGTGAGGTTGAATGGGCCTTAAGAAGCATTGCTAACAACAAGGCAGCAGGAGACGACGGGATCCCAGCTGAACTGTTTAAAATCTTAAAAGATGATGCTGTCAAGGTGATGCATGCCATTTGCCAGCAAATATGGAAAACACAAGAATGGCCATCAGACTGGAAAAAATCAACTTATATCCCCATACCAAAAAAGGGAAATGCGAAAGACTGCTCAAACTTCCGTACAGTGGCCCTTATTTCTCATGCCAGTAAGGTAATGCTCACGATCCTGCAAGGAAGACTCCAGCAATACATGGAGCAAGAGCTGCCAGATGTTCAAGCTGGGTTTAGAAAAGGGAGAGGAACGAGAGACCAAATTGCCAATATCCGCTGGATAA